GGTCCTGCCACTCGCTGCCCCAGCGCAGTGTTAATAGGAGGCAAAACAGCAGGCGGGTAGACTGGGAAATGGCCTGCACTGCTGGGGTCATTGGAGAGGGCGCAGTGCTGATAGCCCAGGGTGAGAGGAAGCAGTGGCAGACAGTATAGGGAGAGGGGTGCAGTATTGCCTGCCCGGCAGCAGGGCTGGATTACCTAATAGGCAGACAAAGCACCACTTTAGGGCACCAGCAAAGCAGGGGCGCGCACGCGCGCACACACACACACACACACATGCACACACACACACACACAAAGAGAGAGAGAGAGATTTTATGGTATAGTATTGATTTTATTTTGAATTACATGGGGGCACCATAATCTTTTCAGTGCTTAGGGCCTCTAAAGGTCTTAATCCGGCCCTGCCTGGCAGGCAGGATGGGCACACAGGTACAAAAGAAATCACTGGTTCTGATCAGCCTGACCATAGAGAAAAATAGCAGCTTGCTCTTCCCATAACACTAAACCCCAGCTCATACAAGAGAGGTGGCTCTCCTACTCAGACTCAGTGCTGCCTCTGTAACCAGTCTCTGTGCTCTATATTGAGGAAAGATAGGGAGGTACAACTGTTTCAGTCACAAGTATGGTGCCCTTGGGGAAACCTCATGCCAAAACCCCCTGGTGGCTGACACTTATGCCCAGGAGAGACAGCAGTATGATTTACTTACTTGAATGGAAAGAAGATGGAAGTTGTGGGAGCCCTTTGGCAAAGGTTGGGTGAAGCAGTTGGAGTACTCTGGTGCATTAAAGGGAGAATGGAGAACTGAAGGAGATGGGACTTACCTCTGGGTAATTTTAGAATGGTCACAAAAATTATGTAAATCAAGCCCTTCTCTCTCCTTAACTCACACAGAATTAATTTAGTTAATATTGAATCTGTAGTTGTGTGTGTTTTTGTGTATCTATATCAGTTGGAAATGGTCCTCGTCATACCTGTCAAGGGTCCACTCCTGGGGCCTATTTAAATAATAAAAACACAAAGAATGCACTTTGTGGATTTTCATATTTCACATGTTACAGACTTCTGTCTCTACACCTTTTCAATGGGTTTATAAATGTTGCACAATTCAAGAGGGAGTTGCAAATTTGAGATATTATCATGTGTAAAACTTTCCTGGGTATGATTTATAAAATCCTCTTCTACAATGTTGGCATATTCATGATACTCTCAGGTAATAAGATGTAACACCATATGAATATTAACTAAATAGAAGAAACAAACTTTAAAATCTGTGAAATCTTTACAAATACAAAGTAATTTTAATTAAGGTTCCCCCTAACTTTTAACCCCCTTGTTTCTAGACATTGCTGCACTTAAGATATTTACTAATTTTCCCCTATTTAAGGATTATACATACTTCAAGATATAAAATATATGGGTATACAGTATTTAGTAACAATTTTCTTGTTTTTCAGCAACAATTCAGATCCATAATTCTTAATAACATGGTTGCTGATGTACGATTAGTGTCCATCATGTACAAGCATCTCAATATGCTACATACAGGCAGTCCCCGGGTTACGTACAAGATAGGGACTATAGGTTTGTTCTTAAGTTGAATCTGTATGTAAGTCGGAACTGGCATCAGCCGCTGCTGAAACTGATCAGTTTCCAGCAACAATTCAGATCCATAATTCTTAATAACATGGTTGCTGATGTACGATTAGTGTCCATCATGTACAAGCATCTCAATATGCTACATACAGGCAGTCCCCGGGTTACGTACAAGATAGGGACTATAGGTTTGTTCTTAAGTTGAATCTGTATGTAAGTCGGAACTGGCATCAGCCGCTGCTGAAACTGATCAGTTTCAACAG